CATGGGGACAGGTCTGTGTGGCATGGTGTCGTGAGGACAGGGCTGGCACAGAGGGGATGTGTGTGTTTATGGTGACATGGGGACAGGGCTGGCATAGATTGTGTCTGGCACAGGGGCAGGTGTGTGTGTATGTGACATAGGGACAGGGCTGGCACTGGGGATGTGTGACATGGGGACACAGGGTGGGTGTGTGTGTGGCAATCAGGGACTGACTGTGCCTGCCCTTGCCCAGGCCTGCGTGTGTGACAGTAATTTGGGGGCAGGGCTGGCCTTGCCCAGCGCTGTGAGCAGGGAGGGACACTCACGCCAAGGGTGCTGTGTCCCACAGCTGTGTCCCATGTCACTGGTGACCAGGTGAAGGTGGGATGTCCCTGCACCCACTTCGCCATTTTCCCACACTTGCTCCACACAATTATTTATTATCCTGATTTATCAACCTCCAGCGTGACAACAATGCTGGGAACTGTTCTGTGACAGCTCACAGGTTATGGCACAGTTTGAACCTCACAGAGGGTATAATGATGCTTATTTACTATTTTTTCCCACTTTCCAGGCTGAGTCAGGAAGTTTGAGGCAGTGGGATGGATGTGGAAGTACAAGGAGAGGAAGTAAAACCGCTTTTAAAAGTACAAAGCAGCGCTTTCTGCGGCGGTCCTCGACTGCAGAAACTTCTTTTTCCTTTTCTTTTTTTTTTTTTTTTGTTGCTTTTGTACTTTAAAAACTGTTTGTGGCTGGAAGCTTTTCATAAAAGCTCCCCTGAGCTGCGTGGTACAATTAACCTCCGGCATCTGGCACCGGGGTGGACTTTTCCAGGGAAAAACCTCCTGTTCCCACAGAACTCGGTGCCTTTGTGTGCAAATCAAAAAAAGCAGAGGGCTTGGGAAACCTGAAAGCACGTTTCATTCTGCCACCAGCGCAGTGCAAACGTGCTGCAAAACCTCTCTGCTTGTTTGCATTTGGGGTTTTCTGTGACACTTGGAGCTCGAGGTGGATCCTCGTGTCTGGAAGTGCTGTGGGAACAAGAGGCTGTTTGTTTGCAAACCCCGGGGTGAGGCGAGCGTGGGGTGGTGGCCTCAAGGGTTGCTTTATGCTTCATCCTGCTGAATCCTGAATTTTTACTGCCTCTGTGGTGTGGGCTGGGAAGGATTGACTAAATTATGGAGGTTCCCCTCACCCCATTTTTTTTTTTTTGTTGCTATTCTGTAGCAATAAGGTTTATATTTTATCCAGCATTTATCCCCTTTTCCAGTCTGGTATTTTTCCCTTTGCATGGGGGCTGTGAACATTCAGTGCTCCATCCTACCTTGGTGGTCCCTGTGTTGCTGTGGTCCAGGTGCCCTTATGAGTCTTTAAATCACAGTGACTTGGGCCAGCTGCTCTCTGACCCCTCACTGCCTTCCTGCCCCACCATCCTCACCAGCTGTGACGTCCTTTTCCGTCTCATCTCAGCTCCAGGTTGGATTCTGGACTTTTCCTAGGGTGCTAATCCTGGAGTCACAGAATGGTTTGGGTTGGAAGGGGCCTCAAAGACCACCCAGTTCCAACTCCCTGCCCTGGACATGGAAAACTTCCACTATCCCAGGTTGCTCCAAGCCCTGTTCAACCTGGCCTTGGACAATTCCAGGGATGGGGCAGCCACAGCTTCTCTGGGCAACCTGTGCCAGGGCCTCACTATCCCCACAGGGAAGATTTTTTTCCTAATATCTAATGTAAATCTATCCTCCTTCAGCTTAAAGCCACTCCCCCTTCTCCTACCACTCCATGCCCTTGTGAAAGTTCCCTCTCCATGGTGTTGAGGCAGATGGTTCAGGTCTTTAAATCCTCCATGACTCAGGGCAGGTGCTGTCTGACTACTCCTTGTTTCATTCCTGCACCACTGTCTTCACCAGCTACGACATCCTTTTCCATCTTGTCTCATCTCCAAGTTGGTCTTTGGACTTTTTCCAGGGTGCTAAATGTGCTAATTCCCACTTTCCAATGATCAGCCAAGCAAGAAATAACCCTTCTTGCTCTCTCCAAAGCCTTCCACCTTGTTTATTAATAATTAAGACTTAGCCCAACCACCACTGAAGCAACTTTGATGGACATGGGAGAGGCTGAGCAGTGCAGCCATGTGTCCTGCTTCCATCCAGGCTCCTGATCCAGATCTCCATCCCTGTTTCCTCCTGACTTGACTCACAGGGTGGGGAGGCCCTGGCACAGGTTGCCCAGAGAAGCTGTGGCTGCTCCATCCCTGGAAGTGTCCAGGGCCCGGTTGGATGGGGCTTGGAGCAACCTGGGCTAGTGGAAGGTGTCACTTCCCATGGCAGGGAGTTGGAACTAAAGATCCTGAAGGTCCCTTCCAACCCAAAGCATTCTGTGATTCTATGATTGCACGTTATTTGGCTGAGATTCCTGCAGAAACTAGAACAGAGATTTCAACATCAAAGTCCTTTATTCCCACCCTCTCTTGTGCAGGAAACCTCATTCCTTTTCTCACAACTCTCTTGATTTCATTTTTTTTTTTTTTTTTAAATTAAAAGTATTTTAAACCTTTCATCATTTACTCTTCCTCATGCACCTCACAGATGTGACCAGGTCTCCCAGCCTGCTCTGGGCCTGGAGAATCTTTTCTGGGAGAGGAGGGGAAATAATGTGTCTTGATAAATCTGCACATTGATATTACAACACGTCAGATCTAATTAAAAAAGAAAGAAGGAGTCAAGCTGAAAATGAATGAGTCTGTGCTTCCCCTTTGCTTATAAATATATATACCAAATGGTATTTTGAATTGTTGGTTCTTCTGGGATTTCAGGGATTTTTAAATAGCAAGTGTGAAAGGGTAAATAATATCAAGATAAAAATAATACTTTCGATTCCCTGCCTGTGCCACGAACACATTCTGCTCGATGGAAATGGAATGAACTGTCGAAAAAAAAAACAACTTAATTTACTTTTCCCATCTTTGTTATCCTCCTTCCCACACTTCAGCTGGTCTGGGAAGCGGAGGGGGCTGGTGGATTTCAATGGACCTTCTGAGAGTTGCTGGTGCTGCAGGGGACCATGGAAATCCATGATCCCAGAGGGTTCTGGGTGGGCAGGAGGAGCCTCTGGGCATGT